AAACCATGAACAGACTGTCCCGAAGTCATTATGGGACTACATGTACTTGCTGACCGACACTGACGCTGACGGAACACGAACTTGAGTTGAATACGCACGAAGTCTTGTACATGTACATCATTATGCGCCGGTGTTGTGGAGTAAGCAGGTACGTCAGTCACCAATCCAGCTTCAGCTCCGCGTTGCCTTCAGCAGACTGTTGCCCGCGTTTGCTTTGCCTCCACATGGATAGACGACCGGCGCAGAGTCCCGCAGCTCCGTGGCCGTGAAGGCTTGATATTCGCCGTTAGTGCCGTCAGGTCTCAGTCCACCTCTCACAGCAAGCCGCTCTATGAAAATCTTTCTCTCTCCATTGGAGTGCTCCTCCGGTTGCGCGACGACACTCAACCAAACGATTAATAGATGTAAAATATCACAAAGAACGGAAAAGCATGCTGTCCGCAGATTGAGTATATAAAAAGAGGCACGCAAGAGTCAGAAAGTGCGATATTAGGGCTAGGGAGGGCCCAAATAAGATAAAAATTTCGCATATTATTCTTTTCGCATATTGGCCACTGGCTTCAAAGTATGCTTCGAAATCACGCAAAAGCGGAATAATAATCACCAGAACTGATATAAAGCGTTTCGGAGACAGCAGTTTTACATATAGCTACAAAGACAACTAATTGCACATTTAGCATTTCATATACATGTACATGTACATGTATGTCCACATGTATGTGTAAACTCTTGTACGATTATCGCAAGGCACATAAGGAAAGGAAAGCGATGATTCGTTCAGAACTGTTTTCTTATTACAATCATCAGTGAATCTAGGTAACAATGGAATGGGGACTACTTGAAACTAATCTTATATGGACAAATAAAAGTGAAAGAAGGTGAAAAAGAGCGAAAAAAAGGTGATAATACTACATCTATTCAGTGGGGGCAAGCTCAGCAGGTAAGAACAATGCATATTCTTCCGTCTGTGCAGGTTTTTTTGTTTGTTTTGCTTATTCTGAGCTTGCCCACTATAAGATTAGTTTCAATTAGTCCCCATTCCATTGTTACGTAGGTTCACTGATGATTGTAACAAGAAAACAGTTCTGAACGAATCCTCGCTTTCCCTTCCTTGTGTGCCTTGCGATAATCGTACAACATTTTACAAATACATGTACATGTGTATAATGTCGACATAATTATTATGAAATGCTTACTGTGCAATTGGTTGTCTTTGCAGCTATATTAGAACGGATAACAGTGATAATTATGCGAATTCTTTACTCCTTGTAGCAAAATATGCTAGATTTGCTAGCCGATTGGAGGCACGATAATTATCACGAACTAACTTTTAATTATACTTTCTCAGGTCCACACCTGGATTATATGTAAGAACTAAAAGAACTTTCTCCAGTACACACCTGGAGGTTGAACAGATCTTCTGCTCGGCTTTGTTGTTATAAATTAATGAAATCAGTAAACCGCAGCAGCTTTTATAAGGCAACGGATCCCGTACGCAAACGTACTGGGATACGTTAAATATACGGTATAGTAGGGCATGATCAAGCTGTGGCCCTGTCCTCCTTCAGGGACCAGCTCAGCCTGGACGATCAAAGGATCTTGGATCTGGCTGTGGAGAAGGGAGCCTCAAGTTGGCTCACGTGTCGGCCATTTCGCTGCTTTCAATTCACAATGCCAAAGTCGGGATTTTGCGATGCCTTGTGCCTACGATACTGCTGGACCCCTCCCCGACTTCCAACCCATTGCGTCTGCGGCAAGCAGTTTGACACGACGAATGCTCTGTTGTGTCCGGTGAAATGTTCCCTCTTCGGTCGACCAACATCGAACACCATGCTAGGCTGGATGTGGCAGCGCGGGGGTTGTATGGGAGTAGGTTTGAGAGGACAATGTTTGATGTTCGGGTGTTCAACCTTTTTGTCCCCTCAAATCGAAACCTTACGCTCTCGTCTGTCTACAGAAAGCATGAGCAGGAGAAGCGGAGGAATTATGAGCCGCGATTTCTGGCGGTAGAGCACTCCTCCTTTGTGCCCATTGTCTTCTCCACCACTGGTGGACAGGGAAAAGCTTCATCTGCGCTGTTTGCCAGGATTGCCAGCAAACTGAGCGACAGGCACAATGAGCCTTTTTCCGCCACCATGGCTTTCGTCCGGACCAAACTGTCCTTCAGCCTAGTGAGAGCCATGGTTGCTAGTCTGCGCGGCTACCGGCGCTCTTCAGTGCCACTTCCTGTTCACTCGGCTGTTCTGGCGGCTGCTGAGTGTCCATTGTAAGCGTATGACACAACTGTACTGTTGATGTACATGGAGTTGCTTACCTCTCTTTCTTTCTTATCTTTTCTTTGCCTCCTTCTCTCTCTTTGGTTACCACGGCGACCCCGTGTGCTGTACTGCTTTCTATTTTTTCTCTTTTACGTTTACTGTATACCAGGCGTGGACCATCCCCTGTACTGCTGTACATAGGTGCCACCATTTTTCTTTGTTTCAATAAAAAAACGTTTGAGATAAAAATCCACACAAAATATAAAAATAGAAGCAACGACGCAAACGTAAACGTAAAAAAATAGTAGGGAGTAGTAATTCTACGGCCGGTACTATAACAGTATAAGATTCAAATAACTTCGAGAATACTATAGTAAGTCATTTCGGATTGCTAAGGGCCTGGTCAGACTGCTGCAAATTTTGATTGCCTGACAAAAAAAGAACAGCGTCCAGAATTAGAATCGCGATCACACTACACATGCGGGAAGAATGAAAATTCCAAAAAATTCAAACTTCATTTCGAGCGTCAAGTGGTAATCTCCACGAACGACGTAAAATTCCTTCAACTTCGGGAAAGCGAACACCTTCAGTGCAATCCTTGCAACCGACCATTTCTCGCGTATGTGTCACTGTCTTTGGCTTTCGACAAGCGGACTGGTGCTAGGATGCCTAGAATAGCGTACACACAGATCCCTCTTTCGTGACGATCATGCACTATGGGATATGGTATCACATCACCACCACACGATGCACGTTCGGAGCGTGTTCAAATTACCTAGTACCTATATTATACATAATAGACCTTCTGGCGCTTAGTACTAGGTGTACAGATCCACGAAATCCCGTAGAATCCCGTAGACCCGGTTGGGCGTCCATTTGGTGCTATGCATGCGCATTTGACCAACTTTATAATAAGGTGGTTGGTGACTTGGGGCAGTACCACTTTTCTGGAACTTTTTTCACTGCTTTTGAGTTTATCGGCTAGGTGGAGGTGAAATTATAAAATGTTTTTCGGTAAATCCCTGGAAAAATATTCATCACTAGTTTCCTACAGTTTTATTTTTACTTTTGGTCAAAGTTTGAAAGCGTTTTATGAAAGATCCTTTGGAAAAAGAACACGGACCTTTCAGAAAACGCTTTCGAATTGCGTCTAAAAGTAAAAATATAACTACAGGAGGCTAGAGAAGGCTCTTCTCCAGAGATTCACTGAAAAACATTTTCAAATTTCGTCTCCACCTCGCCAATAACCTCAAAAATGCCGTCAAAATATAGAACTAATGACTAGCTAGATCTTTGTCAGGATCAGGTTTCGTACATGTATGTAATGCCTTCAGGGCCCAAATGTTAGTGGACATAGTGGAAAACAGTAGTAGTGCACCCTGTAAAAGGCCTTAGGCATGTGGGGATTGCCCTATTCGAAATTTAAATAATACTACCAAATTGAAAATAAAATAGCACACAATAGGGTCTACGGTATTTCGTAGATCTGTACAACTGGCATAAGGCTTATATTATAGTACACATTATACTATGAAATACGACAGGGTTGTCGTTCTGGCTATACGGTGGATGGCTCACGTCAGTTCATTACGCTCTGCTCATATTTCAAACACACATGCAGTTATCTTATCGAGCTACTGGTCGGATTTCATCGGCCATCATTGCATCAACCACTACATGTACATTTACTCTTCAGCGTGGTACCGAGCAACATTTCTCACTATAGTCTGCAATCAGATTTTCATTCTCATCAACAACACGGAAAAATTCATCATTGCGGGTCAACGACAGTCATCTGTATTTCAATTTGCACCGATGCATCCATGTTACAATATTCTGGACATTGGTGGGGCTTTCGATACGACATCTAGTAGGAAGTAGGACTAGAGGATTATTATTGTTTAGCTGTGGGAGTCCCAGCAGCCATGGAAATATTACAGGAAACCCTGCGCAAAGCTGCATGCACGTACAGTGAGCACAAATGGCAAAAGATTGTCCCTTACGTCAATGGGGAGGAAGAGCTTTTCAATCAACAGCCACCAGAGATTGAGCGCAATGCGTATGCAATAATGTATGTGAAGTAGGTAATAGGGAAGGAGTTGTATCCTGGCCGCAAGTACGAGCATTTGTGTTTAATCTAGAAGAAATTCTGATTGAGAGTACTGGGGCAGCTATTGGGTAAAATATACGAAAGATAATAATCTAAGCTTTTGAATTATCTATCTGCTCAAGCGATTACGGATGATACCTTGGAAGAGCTACGTAGTTTCACGTGTTGAACATTATAGTCTAAATCCGCTACTGCAGTTATTTTGTTTTAGCGCCTTTCCAGTGTTCTATTAACACCCCTCGTTCTCAATCAATTATTGATGTTCTTCCTCTCCTTTGACTTCAAAAAATCTCAGATTTCGAGTTTTTTTGCACTCCATACATAATTTTAATTATGTTATTGGTTTAGTGAGACTCCCAAGATAGGTGCCTATTTACCTCTGGGGAATCCGTAAATAAAGCAAAACGGAAACTAAACTGAAGAGCTAAATGAGCCGACGCAACCGCTCGGAAGTGGGAAACACTTGATCAGGCGAAGCATCCACGACGTGTATGTACTATTAGAGGTCAGATACCGTAGGTACAACTGACATACAAACTTGAAACTTGAAGGTACGCTGGCTCTGAAAGATGCGGGAAGGACTAAGCTACAATGTGTGTGTTGGGATTTGAATAGACTAGATTGCGATTGCTCCATCCGTTCGAGTTTCTTCTTTTAGCTCTGAAAGGTTAGTGGACATTGGATAAGACCACCCATGTTTTGGCAGGTTTATATTCTGCTTGATGAAGACTGGTTTCCGACATGGCATCAACTGCCGGGCAGTCAGATTATTCGTTTTGCACGCTCATGTAGGTGCTAGGCTGCTAGCACCGTTACTCCTTGTTTGCCTAATGTTTGTATACTGACTTTTCCTATAAAATCATGAATTGCAGGCACACTCTGTGAAGAATATCATTCCTGGATACCATACCTGTTCCTGTACGAAGAACACCCCTTGAGAGGTGAGTGAATGGCTTGCCCTTACATCGCAGTAACTACCATATGCAACCAGACAGGCACAGTGGGTTGGTCAAAGACCATGATTGAGATACGAGAGGTACCTGGTTCAAGTCCTGCCTGGGAGCGGTTTTTCCAGCCGTGCTGCTACTCACAGTCAACTGGGAACTTGTGGCCAGGCACAAGGGGTACATGGATGCAGCTAATGGGGTCGTTCTCGGCACTTGTGCCAGTGGTTGTAAGACTTACCCACTCACCCCCACCGTTAGGTGCTGCATCTGCCGCTAGGATTTACCGGGTGTTAGCGGGCGTCGCGAGTTCCCTTCGGGAACGGACATGATAATTTACTTTTTACCACATGCAAGGAGGCTTTTGCCTGCTTTTAGCTTTGAATCATTTCTGTTTTCCTGACCGCTATACTGTTAATAATGATAATGTAGAAAAAGGCATTTAGTAGCTTTCACCCATTGAAAATTCTGCGTACCACCACTACCCTTAGGCATTGTGGACGACCACACACACTTTCCACAACAGCAAAACGTTCACCAGAAGTACTGATTCTACTGAACGTGTTATTCCGTCTGACCTCGTTAGAGAAGGTTGAATTGTTACTGTAAAACCGGAAAGTCTAACGGGTCACAAAGCCTAACGTTTTAACGACTAATTCTTATTCGCTATTTGAAGAAACGTTGTCCAGAACCCAGTATGTGAAAATGCGCATACATCGATGAATATTCTTGGTGGCCAGGTAGCCATCGTTAAATTGTCTGCACGTTATCATGCCAACATTACAAAAACGTTAATCATTTTGGTCGCTAGACTTTTCGGTTTTATAGTATATGACTAGAAAAGAAAGAAGCACCTATTGCACTCTTCTCTGATCAATTAAACAAGACATGGAGTGCTAATGTGCTCGCTTGATACCCTAACGCATTTCCAGCACTTTTTCGAACATTAAACGCCGAAAAACCAGTTGGAGGCTGAGCGGGATAAAGCGGGTGCGCTAGTTTCGATCGTGGAGTGAATACAGGGGCGTTGGGATTTAGTCGTCGTTGCTGCAGCGTTGTGTATGTTGGTTTGTTAGCATGACAGTTCAGGATTGATCATCACTGCCTCGCCGCGAAGTAGCAGACGACTTGTTACCTTGGGCATCAGCAAAGCGCCACTTTCGCACCGCGTACTGGATTATAGAAGTAGTGTAGACATGCTTCCATAGTGAATGATAGTTTTAGTTGTGCAGTCTGATTAGTGTGTTTTGTTTCGAACGCGAGTGTCTGTGTAACGGCGAAGAAGCCCTGTGCCTTTGGTTGTGGCTTTGGTGTGTGAGAAATCCAACTAGTACTAGTTATGGTAACACTTGAAAGTACCGCCATTCCGGCAACAGGCTCTCAGCTGCACCAAATAGATAATTTTGCCAATATTTCGCCCATTGGGCATCATCAGGGCATTGAGGAAGGGGAGGCAAAAAACACGAAAAGACGAATAATGCAGGTAGATGAATGTTCTAGAACTAACACGTCCTGGTGACACAATTGGCAAGGTCAGCAACCAAAACAATCACTACTTGTAAGGTGACCTAAACAGAACTAAAGAAGAGAAAACTCACACATGATTACCTCATTGTATTTCTACATGCGTCTGTCTAGCTGCATACGTGCCACAACGTGAGGATCAATCGCCGTTGAATATTTTAGTTCGCCAAATATGCGCTCTTGGTCGGATTTCACCAACGGTGTACTTCAAGTAACTGACTCTAGACACTGGAAAATGGGCATTATATGCACAGCCTATGAATTTTAGGCAAGGAGATATGAGATAGAATTTACACGAAAGAGATTGTGAATTTTCGAAACGGTCAGTTAGCCTTGTTGAAAGAAGTTCAACCAGTGCAATATCATACTTATCTGTTTCATCCTCTCCTCCGCAGATCGAAAGTGATCTACCACACGCGATGGAGCACCAAGAGAATCCTAATATATTACTTTTGGAGTGGGAATACTTTCGTGGAGAAGTGTTTTATCCCATTCAAAGGACCATTGGAGATGAGTTTCACATACACGAACTTCTCGGCTACGGAGAGACTTCCAAAGTCTATCGCGGACTTCACGTCAGTACCTCCACGCAGGTAAGAAAACCAGCGGTAAAAGTATCCGCATTTAGTTGAGAAGGAGCGTGAAGATTTTGTGCTTGATTTGTACATGTATGCTCAGAAAGTGAGTAACCAGCCCCATTGTGCGCGTTTGCTTGGTGCTCGTCTTTAAAATTGTTACGATGCATGTTATCTCCGACGCCACGCGCAATTTCACGTCAAATTTGGCGTAAAACTCCAAATTTCGACGTGAACTGCCGGTCATTAGCGTTGTTTTTCGAAGCGCCAGCCAAATAAGGGAAAGAGTTGGTGGACAAGCCGTTGATTATTCATTGTAATATTAAAAAAAGTATTCTTTCTAGACCAAAGAGTGTTATATTTGATAAAAAGAATTAATAACGATAGAAATATTTACGATACTTCTCCAGACGTTTCATTGTTCTGAACAACATCGTCAGTGGAGTCTTCGTCAGTCTTTATCCACTGACGATGTTGTTCAGAACAACGAAACGTCTGGAGAAGTATCGTTAATATTTCGATCGTTTTTAAAAATTTTATCAAATAAGGGAGCTGAACTTTAGCATCACCTCGGAAATAACGATCATCTTAACCTCTCTTACGAAGAAGACCCAAGACAATTCCTCATCATTCAGAGAGATTCCTTTTTGAAACACTGCATTTACAATTCTCACCACCCCAAAGCTCACCTTTAATATTATTATGCGATTTTCTCAACACTGCGAAGATGTATAATATCTTAAATAATCTACGTGAAGATAAAGGTTTAATAATAGCTACGAAAAGTATGAATGCCGCAGACATCACCACGCAACATGACAATTTGTTCAGGTTTTAGATTGTGTGTTTCCAGAATCGATTTTCAAGCTGACACTGTTTAAGAAAAGAAATATTCAATGAAATGCAACGACAAACATGGCGTTTTCGCAGCGAGGATCATCATAATAATATTTCCGGGGGCTCAAATCATAATTCAAAGCCAACCGGGGCATGCAGTAGCGTAGGAAGTTTACTACGAGCAGGTCCCGTCACCTGCAATTACATGTCCCACAAACATGTAGGTTTGCAATGGGCAAACCAAAGTTATCATGCCACAGAAGCACTCGCGGCCAGCGCCTCGCAGGCAGTCCGCAACGCCGGCTGTCATCGTACATCGTCCCCAAGCGTGGGAAAATGGCACATGCGCAAGCGTGAGACTCGCAGCCTTGCTGGCAAAGAACAGCAGCGAGACCTTTCTATGCAAACAAATTTGTTTGAGCACCTTGGCTTGCAATATCAGCAGTGTTGTGCGAATTTTCTTGCAAACAAATTTGTTTGAGCACCTTGGCTTGCAATATCAGCAGTGTTGTGCGACTAGTGTCTACAGCTAGCATATCATGAGTCGTTTTCAAACAGCAGCACGAGGAGATCCGCGAGCTAATCCGCTCCTCCATCCGAGAAGCCATTTCCGGGGACGACTCTGGCGAGCCGGATGCTGAGATCGCCTGCGCACAAGACCTGAACCCGGCAGGTACTAGGTAGGCTTGACTCTGATTTGCCTGTACATGCACCTCCACCACATGCCCACACCCGTCCCCTGTGTGTTGCACATGTGGCCGAGAGAGTGGTGTAGAAAGTGCTGCGAGGAAAGTTCGTAGATTTAGCACTCCTCCTCAGGCTCCTGCGCCCCTCAGCAGTGCCCGCTGAACCCTCAGCCAAACGTTTCAGGCTCGAGAACGACTCGGATGGGTCAGTAGTGCTGGCCCCAGCATAGCAGAAAAAGCGAGAGTCGAGTCTATCGTGGCCTGGGCCGAAGCGTGGGCAGTGTTGTCCATCATTGTAGGCATGCAACGCACACACTGCCTGAACAAACTGTTGGTATACCAGCATCACGTCCTAAGGGCGTTAAGCATTCTACCCTCAGCAAGAATCTTCGATCAGCTTTTTGACTACCCTCATGTTGTGGATGCTCACCTGGGGCAAGAGGGCATGTCTTGATGTCATGCCAAATAAATCGGGTGGGCATCGCTCGATCATGCATCTTTCAGCCCCGGAAGCTGGTCCGACCGGTGCGCATGCGCTAGTCATGTCTCTTGCATTGTCATTGCTGTTTTGACTCTTGAGCATGCAACTTGCGGAACATTTGTTCCCACACAATTTCCTTCCCACCCGCTACCTCAACTCACGTTTCTGGCGCACACATGACGTATTTCTCGCTCAACATGTTTCGGTTGCATATATGGCATCGGGCGTGTTCTTTATCTCTTGCCAATATATGCTTGCCATGCCTACATGATGCCAAATCGCCATTGGGGTTATACACCCGGTTTTTTCCCTCACTACTACGTCCGTCGGCGCGAGGGTTTTTTCCCGGCTGGCTTGGTCCAGGAAAATTAATCTGACGGTCCCAAGTGGTTCTGCATCATGGCCTATTTCTGTTATCCGCATGCACATCTTTCCCATTTGAGACACACTCTGTTCTCATTGCTTGCTTTCATGCCTCACTCGTGCTTCGGTTCACATCTGGCTGCGGCCAACTACCCTTCAATTTGTGTGTTGTCGCTATTGCTGTCTATAATCTGTGTGTACCAGTATATATGTGGCGCGGGAATGTATTCTTACAATCCATGAGAATATATGCTCTCAACTGTCATGCATACCTTTATATTTAGCATTAGGTGGCTCTACTCAGAGTCATTGGCGGCTCCATGCGGAGTCATTTGCCGACTCCATGCGGAGTCATTTGCCGGCTCCATGCGGAGTCATTTGCCGGCTCCATGTGGAGTCATTTGCCGGCTCCATACGGAGTCATTTGCCAGCTCAGCTCTAGCAGTCCGAGCAGAGCTATCATACTAGTTGCTCGAATCGGCGCTCCCATGGAATGGCATTGCCCTATTCAGACACATCAGTTGGTCCAAGTCCCCCAGTCTTCAGCTCTTCACTGACACGCCTGGCGTCAGTTCCGGCGGGCTTTACAACACAGCGCGGTTCTATGGCACATGGTCAGCAGACCAGTCGGATGGCCTATTTCGCAGCATTATCTGGCGGGAACTCTACCCAATTGCCATTGCACTCTCTTTATGGGGAGAACAATGGGCGCATCATGCTGGCCAATGCCAACAAGCAGACTACTTCAATAGAGCACATCATCTCCGTCAGACGCTACTGATAAAGGCCGGCGACCTAATTAGGGATTCAGTAGCCCCAAGTTCTGCCCGCACATACCCGCCAAGGACTGGGGCGTATCTGAAGCTGTGTACACAACTGGGATGCCAGCCGAGTAGGCCGTCGTTAAATGACTTGCTTGCATTCATCATCCACTGCGTATCCGGTCACAGATCTAGCGCAACCATCCCGAGTATATGTATCCGCCGTGAGGTATTACCTCCTCTGCCATGGCGGGCCGTCACACACAACTCGGCACGATAGAGTTACAGCAGCCTTGAAGGGAGCGGAGCATCAGCAATGGCAGCACCGCCAGCAAGCAGCACCGACACAATGTCAACGCCAGGCTATCACACAATCAGACCGGCAGCAGCTCTTGACCAGGATCCAGCGCTCCCACTACTGCGAATCGGACAGGTGCATGCTGTGGGCCGCCTTCATGACAGCCTTTGCGAGATTGCTCAGTGAGCGAGGATACTGCCGCCTCTCCCCGCTCCGCTTCGAATGGCTGCACTCTGACCCTGGTTCAAGTCTCATTCACTGGGACTCAGATCAGCATACGACCCGGGATAACGAAGACCTCCCAATGTGGCACTGGGGGCCAAGTCATCTTGCAGCCATGGTCCGGCAGCTAGCTCTGCCCTGTCCAAGCAATGCGCAAGTACCACGCTATCCGCCACGCAACGCCAACAATGTCACCGCTGTTCATATTCCGAAGTGGGCAATATCTCACAGCCAAAGATGTGAACTACTGGATGACGAGAGCCCTAGGTCCGGGTGTTAGCAGTCACTCCCTCAGAATAGGCGGGGCTACTGCAATGGCCGGAAGGAATGCCTCAGCTTGGCAGCTCCAGAAGGCCGGCCGCTGGGCTAGTGACACGTACAAAACGTACCTCCGCGTGCCGGCTGGCCTGCCTCTTGGCCAGCAATGGGCCGGCTACGCTGCCATGTGTGCATGCGCGCGCTGCTGGGCACTGGTTTTGTATCAATCCTGCCCAAAATACTCTAAGCACTCTGCACCCCCTTATGTAGGAATATGACCTCTCAGTAGCTTGCCCGATTAAGGATCTCTGCTCCAGCCTGGACCACATACTCAAACTCTTTAACGCATTGTGTTGCGCACTGTCGCTGCTAAGCTTATCTGCATGTATGTAGCGCAGCGTTTACTCAACCGCGGAAAGAAAGCAAGAAAGGAAATATGGCTAAGAGCAGTGTGTATAAGCGGGGTTGCCACTAACCACTGACTCTTCTTGGGGAAGCAAGCAAAGCCCCTCAGCTGAATGCATTTTGGAACAATTCTCTGCATGAGCTTTCAAGCACTGGCGGCACGCGCTGCCCAGCAGCAAGACCACATGGTCCCAGCAGGACCAGCTGGTCCCAGCAGGACCAGCTGGTCCCAGCATAGACACATTGTGTCCAGCAGCCGGGCCAATTGGCCCCAGCATACAGCAGGACCGTCCGGTCCCAGCAGTTATGTGACTACCTGCGCACAGCCGTGCCCCACATGGGCACAGCAGCATTAATTAGGACCACATGGTCCCAGGCGGACCAGCTGGTCCCAGCATAGACACATTGTGTCCAGCAGCCGGGCCAATTGGCCCCAGCATACAGCAGGACCGTCCGGTCCCAGCAGTCTTTTGACTACCTGAGCTGCGCACAGCCGTGCCCCACAAGGGCACAGCAGCATTAGTTAGGATCATTGGCCTTAATCTCTTGCACTGCCTGCCATCTACCAGCATTGTAACAGAATTTTCTACAATCCCGCTTTGCGGGGCCGCCTGGTATAAATGCATTGTTGCAAACAATTCGCAGATTACAAATTCTGTTACAAAAACACTTGATATGATCCAGCCGCAGCAGCTCGGCAACCCCAACTTCCACTTGCTTGATGTGCGTGTGGGTGATAAATGTAGGTTTGCAATGGGCAAACCAAAGTTATCATGCCACAGAAGCACTCGCGGCCAGCGCCTCGCAGGCAGTCCGCAACGCCGGCTGTCATCGCACATCGTCCCCAAGCGTGGGAAAATGGCACATGCGCAAGCGTGAGACTCGCAGCCTTGCTGGCAAAGAACAGCAGCGAGACCTTTCTATGCAAACAAATTTGTTTGAGCACCTTGGCTTGCAATATCAGCAGTGTTGTGCGAATTTTCTCCCGCCCACCACAACCCACTTCTAAGTTCTAGCGCCTCCAGAAAGGGGGGGGAAGCAAGCAAAGCCCCTCAGCCGAATGCATTTTTGAACAATTCTCTGCATGAGCTTTCAAGCACTGGCGGCACGCGCTGCCCAGCAGCAGGACCACATGGTCCCAGCAGGACCAGCTGGTCCCAGCATAGACACATTGTGTCCAGCAGCCGGGCCAATTGGCCCCAGCATACAGAAGGACCGTCCGGTCCCAGCAGTCATTTGACTACCTGCGCACAGCCGTGCCCCACATGGGCACAGCAGCATTAATTAGGACCACATGGTCCCAGCAGGACCAGCTGGTCCCAGCATAGACACATTGTGTCCAGCAGCCGGGCCAATTGGCCCCAGCATACAGCAGGACCGTCCGGTCCCAGCAGTCTTTTGACTACCTGAGCTGCGCACAGCCGTGCCCCACAAGGGCACAGCAGCATTAGTTAGGATCATTGGCCTTAATCTCTTGCACTGCCTGCCATCTACCAGCATTGTAACAGAATTTTCTACAATCCCGCTTTGCGGGGCCGCCTGGTATAAATGCATTGTTGCAAACAATTCGCAGATTACAAATTCTGTTACAAAAACACTTGATATGATCCAGCCGCAGCAGCTCGGCAACCCCAACTTCCACTTGCTTGATGTGCGTGTGGGTGATAAAGTGAAATGCATGCTGCTAGATTAGTTATGCTCCAATTTGCATGAATGTCATACTGCGCAGCGGTTTTTTTTTCTTTTTTCTGAAAGTGCACATGCCTACATCGAATGGAAGAGAAAAACAACATCAAGAGAACATAGGGGACTACAAAGGGCTGGTGATGTTGGTTCCATTATGGGAGCCAAGGACCATGTGTTAGCCCTTGCCGATGGTTTTTTCCCCCTGCTCGGTAATCTGTTGCTGTGTCGTACAGGTTGCAATCAAGAAGAGTTTCGAAGATCGGAGGTCATTGGCGGCGCTGGACAGGGAGGCATATGCACTGCGTTATTTTCGCCACCCGGTGATTCCTTTCTATTTTGCATCCATAGTCACAGCATGGGGGTGGTGTGTTATCCGGGAGCTGGTAGAGGGCGGTAAGCAGGTTTTGAAATCCAATATAACGTTATCAGTTTTATGTGCAATTGCAGTGTCTTTCTATTTCTGAAGTCTCGTCACTATTGCCGATACCTCCCAAGGTCTTCCTCACACCAACATCACACGAAGAGTACATGATCACCCACCCATAATTATGCGTGATGTGCACATTGTAAGCGATGCTCACAGGCGACGCTTCCCTAATATAGTGCGATGAAATGGCAACAAAATGCATCTGAGCGTTCCAGCGGTCGCTCTTTCGTAGTCGTACAATACCGTGTTGGGTCTTTGCGATGTGATTGCAACGCTCAAGGGTTCGGGTTTCAGGTCCCAGACCTGTACATGCAGGCACAACTACAAACGCTTGACCTGGGAGCTCTCAGGTGGCCTCTCATCCTGAAGCCAATTCCCCTTTTTCTCTTTCATCGCAACAAACAAACAAACAACGCGAAACCCGCCCGTTAAGCAACCTTCATTTCACAATACAATTCCACTAAAAACTATGCCCAGGACAATAATGATGAACCACTGGCAGCTAAAATATGTGTTAGGCCTAACCAGATGTACGGTAAAACCTGTAACTAAAGACCACTATGACTAGCGACCAGCCTGGTACTACAGTAAAACCTGTAACTAAAGACCACTATGACTAGCGACCAGCCTGGTACTACAGACCACTTCACCCGGCACGGACGGGCTCACATCCATTATTATGATTGTGCGGTGCAAACCTCTAATTAAGGACCACCTGCCACTAAAGACCAATTTTTTTGGGCCCCAAAGGGGTGGTCTTCAGTTACCGGTTTTACTGTATTCCAGGAGAATGTAACTTTGCTGGCTAGCTGCTTGGACTAGACCGCCAAATAAGTGTGGGAACGAAGGCCGACAAGATGCTCGTGACAACGCGGTCGGTGAATGAAGCACAGCGTGAACGTGCTCGACAGAAGCAATTCTTCATTCCATCATGTCTCAAAATGTTTCGAAACCTCAAAGGCATAAATTTAACTGACTGCGGCACATATTAGGATCTTTTTTACTGGTATCCTGCTGCCTACGTTGACACAAGGACGAATGCGTAATAGCGGGTGGGGCAACACATCTCCTGTGTCTGTGTGCACGGTAGAGTAAGTTATCTGTTCTCGTTGTGATACTTCATCATTATTATCACTGTACTTAAAACAATAGGAGGACACAAAAAGTGTTTTTACTCCGAGTTTCACGCACTTAGGCCTCGGTCACACTACGGCAAGTTTGAAGCTGGACGCAGGGTCAAGTCGCAGCAGTTGACGCAGACGCGGGGTCACACAGTGTTTTGTTTTTCTTGCAGCTGGCGCATTTGTCTACGTCACAAAATCACCAGTGAAACTCAATGATGACACGGATTCGCACGGAAACGCCACGGAAACCGGCCTTTTGCTTATTGTACAAAAAATTGTCGGACAAAGTTTTAAATTTTTTTATTGATTTTTGATTACAAGAAGACGAAAGGTCCACGCGTGCACGATCGTTGTTGTTTCTTTCCGAATTTGAAGCCATTTTCAGTTGTGTCATGGATCAGGCAAGAAAAGTCCGCATCGCAGCTGTGTTTCTCCTGACTTCGTCATACTAGTTGTCCTTTTTGGCGCTCTTGACGACAACACAACACTCACAAGTCAACAGCCTCCAGTTGGCCGATGACCCACTCAGACAACTGGTCCCCTCTTGACTTTATTTTCTTCTCAGAAAACGCCTCGCTCTTCCGCCAGGTTCGGAGCAGAGCAGCATCGGCCTCGTAGGTCCACGGACTCATCTCGGAAAAAAAGAGGAAACAAAACAAACCTTGAAGAGACGAATGTCGAATCATCGTATGACTGCTCAACTCGAGCAACTGTCTTGAAACTAATTTTACTTGAAAGACACTGTTTTTCGCCAAGCGTCACTCCCATCAGCGGCAACGCAGCCGATTTCCCCACGTCAGACGCAGCAGCGTCTGACGCTCAAACTTGCCGCTTTTGCGTCAGTTGCCATGGAAAAGCTCATGATTCTGACGCTGACGCAGCATTTTTGCCGTAGTGTGACCGAGGCCTAAGCGATCATCAGAAAACAGTAAATGAGAAATCTGGATCAGTATTGGTTTATATACCCACAAAGCAAGTGTATATAGCTGCAGCATGGCGCAAATCTAAAAGTTGAGAATGGCGGCAGTGCCAAGCGTAAATGACTGCATCATGGGGCAAATCTAAAAGTGTGAATGACAGCAGTGGTGAAAGGTGACAACCACTGTACTTATTCTGTTCTCTGCTTCTAGTTACTCTGGATTTGTCACCAGGCTTTGGCGATCCAACTGAATACCAGGCAGCCAGAATCTTTGGTCAGTTGGCGGATGGTCTTAGCTACATACATGCATTGGGCACCGTACATGGGTAGGTGGCCTAGTTCTACTTTCTTTACGTAGTTCCACTCAATCTGCTCTCAGAGATGTTACTCCCATGCTTCTCCGTCTTGACCGTTACTTTTCTTCTTTAATTATTTTACTCAGCATGGTTGGCTAACACCAACATCTCCCGTACTGGCTGATATTCTTTTCATGTTATGAGGTGTTGTCTATAATATTAATAATAATATTAATGTGGTTGGTCCCCTGGGGGAGGGAAAAAGACCCAAGTGCCATTAGTATGTGTGGCACGTGTTGTGAGCTGCCTTTGGAGTGAAAACCTTGTCGGCGCCTTCTAGGTTCAGCCCGGTCCCATAGCTCAGTGGTTAGAGCATTGCTCATGAAAAGCAAGGTCCCGGGTTCGAGTCCTGGTGGGTCTGGCGATGTTTTCTCTTTTCAGGCAGTTCACTTCCCCTACTGTTCATTGGAATTTGAAAATCTCCCAATCCTTTCATAAATTTATCACTCTCTTTCACTTCTGGTAGGGTCCAGAAACTGACCGTGGTTGGTCCCCTGGGGGAGGGAGAAAGACCCAAGTGCCATCAGTATGTGTGGCACGTGTTGTGAGCTGCCGTTGGAGTGAAAACCTTGCCGGCGCCTTCTAGGTTCAGCCCGGTCCCATGGCTTGCTCATGACAAGCAAAGTCCCGGGTTCGAGTCCTGGTGGGTCTGGCGATGTTTTCTCTTTTCAGGCAGTTCACTTCCCCTACTGTTCCTTTGAATTTGAAGTTCTCCCCATCCTTTCATAAATTTATCACTCTCTTTCACTTCTGGTAGGGTCCAGAAACTGACCGTGGTTGGTCCCCTGGGGGAGGGAGAAAGACCCAAGTGCCATCAGTATGTGTGGCACGTGTTGTGAGCTGCCTTTGGAGTGAAAACCTTGTCGGTGCCTTCTAGGTTCAGCCCGGTCCCATAGCTCAGTGGTTAGACCATTGCTCATGACAAGCAAGGTCCCGGGTTCGAGTCCTGGTGGGTCTGGCGATGTTTTCTCCTTTCAGGCAGTTCACTTCCCCTACTGTTCCTTTGAATTTGAAGTTCTCCCAATCCTTTCATAAATATTAATAATGTTAATAATTATTATAGACAACAATCATTATTATTAAAATAATAATGATTACCTCCTGTGTGGACTCATCAGCGCAGCACAGACAAATAAGGCAGAATGAGAGAGAAATGAAAAATGAATTTTCAAAAAGACGGACCGCTCATTGTTTCCTCAAAGAGTCTGCACTACTTGGGTCTGGCGGTGATTGTTTCGTATCACGGTTCGTTTGGCATCCACTGGCTCCGCTGCATGCTACACTTCTATTAGGCGCCGTCCACAAATATCGATATTCTTTAGAGAAGATATTTGTTCGCTTGGGGGGTTAGGAGGGTTTTTGTCCCTGTTCGTCTCGTCCCTTTGAAAAATATCGATCTCTAACTTTGAGCGAGCACTGTACAAACATGCAGTTGATGATCTACCCAGAGTGGAAGTCAACCCCAACAATACAGCCATGGCAAGGTTGAGAGAGTCAGAATGTGGCAAAGTAAACCTTGGTGTATGTTGAATTTGGAGTTCCTGTTGGTCCCGTTTCGCGAGGAGATTACACTTCATTAAAAAATATCGACTCCCTGCATACATGTGTTTCTGTTCGTTTTGAGGGGAGAGGGAGGGAACCAGAGCCCCGGGGGAGGGAGGGGGCCCAGGGCCCGGGGAGATATGAACAAATAATTATCGTTTTGAAAAAATATCGATATTTCCGGACAGCCCCTTACTGGGCCGCTATTCATACACTGTAGCTGGTTACATGTTGTCCTTCGTCAGGTCAAGTCGGTAGGAAGCGTCCTAGCTCTTGTGCCCGAAGCTGCAAACTCCTTCTCCGCTTCTCATTAAATATTTCCTCTACACAAAAACATCCGTTTTGGAACAGGGCTTTCTTTCAGGATGACCAGGTTATGAAGACCATGCCGCCGAAATGATTTGGAGCTTAATAACAACATTTAAAAGGGGTCAGCGAGATGCGTTATATAAAATCACTTCTCATGCCAGGTGCATGAATCTGATTTCAGATTGGAGCGGTTTCTACGTCCGTACATTGATGAGCATATTATATTGGTGCAAGGAATCTTGTCAAGATTTGTCAAATATATGCGGCCCAGTTTTCAGGCCTGCATATAGGTGTAATAGCGCAAATGAAAATTCCATAATAAAATGCGATGATATCTCATGGTTGTACCTTTTGTTAATCATTGTGTTTCCTCCTCCAGAGATATATGTGCAAAGAATGTCATGGTGACTCCAGAAGGCAACGTTAAACTGATTGGTAAGCAGAATCAACGCCCGTTCCACTGCTTGTACTTTATCGTGCATGTACTGTACTGCTCAATGTACTCCAGTCGCGTTAGTCAGTTTTCCTGCTTGCACGATTTCGCAGCCCAGTGTTCGTGGATATAATTATCGCTGCGCACCACCCAGCCCGTGGTACTTGAGTGACTTGACTGGCTTTCCTCGAGTATCATTAAATACGAGGGACCACGTACCAAGAAATCCAGAACAATCATTTACCAGGAAATAAAACCACCCTAAGTGATCAGATCATGTTTAATGAGAAACAAATTACGACCAGCTATTTGTACAGTAGTAGAATATCATCGGTACCTTCAGTCCTCCAAGTTCGGTGACGGGGTGATTTTCATTGTCGAGTTATAGTTCATGAGTTTGTCGCAGTGTCTTACCTGTCTTGGCGTCAGCCTATAACGTTCGTCACTCTTTGTGGCCGTGGGGCATACTCCTTCGAGTCGTTCCTTAATGTATCACTTTATGACTGTATTATTCCGTTACCTTGGTAGTCTGTATTGCTATGTATGTCATAATGCGTACCATTTTTTCCCCAGGTTCTTATACTTCTTAGTTCTTTGTCTTCTTTATAAGATTTTTTTAGAGATTAAAATCTGTTAAATTTGAAACTGCCAAATATTTACTAGTATGATAAAACAAAGGCCAAAGGCTTAAAGCAGCCATTGGGCAAAATCAACGGGTCAAGAATATGCGAGATATGCGGAGGTGTAAATTAAGGATCAATCGTAAAAAAACTGGAGCCGTTGTGACCAGTGAAAGCGATAGTTCACTAAACGAACTTGTTGCATCTCTTGTGTGGGTTATTATCCCTGTTTTATAGATTACGGAAATTGCCGTCCGGGTCTTACAGTGGACGACTATAGAAGTTTTAGCTCCCGCAAAGCCCCGGAACTCATGTTCGAACCTAGACGCCCAAGGGGGCGGAAGGCGGATATGTTTGACTTGTAAGCACAAATCTCTCTCTGTCTCGCTCGCTGTCTCTCTCTCTCTATTTCCCTCCCTCTCCCTCTCTCTGTGTCTCGCTCGCTGTTTGCCTCTCTCTCTCTCTCTCTCTCTCTCTCTCTCTCTCTCTCTCTCTCTCTCTCTCTCTCCCTCTCTATCTATCTATCTCTCTCTCTCTCTTTCTTTCTTTCGCACTCTCGCATGCCTGGTTTGAGGTGTTGCAAGTGGATTGGTTAGTTATGTTGCCTGATGATTGCTAACTCAAGAAACTCGACGTAGCAACAGGTTTCCTTGGTGGCAGGAACCACAGCAGCTCCAAGGGGTATCGAGGGTCGAGTGATCCACAGCCGGCGATAGACGGCATTCCGAGTACAGGAAACTGTGGACTGCGCCGATAGCTCAGGAATGGCTTGATAACTACAAAGAGCGCAGCGTTAGTGGTCATCACTATACTCTTTAATGTTTAACATTTGCCCCATACAGGGGCTGCAAAGAAACGGGTATGGTTGTTCAAGCTGCGCGTGAGGAGTAATGTCCGCCTGCACTGCGCTTGCTCCCGAGGCAAGCCAAATCGTGTAGGCAGCAAGTGCAGCGTGGTGAGTTAGCTGTATGATGCATACGATGTGCATGTAGATGTACACAATCATTTGTAGGTTCCCCTCAGAGAGCTTTGCCATGAGCTGCAAAGCATCCATTTTAAAGAAATCTGCTGATACTTAGATTTTGAGGTTTTTTATTTTATGGTTCGATTCCTATCATTCATTCTTGTCAGTCTTCACGCTCCTTGAGTTCTACCGCTGCGCAATGTTGTTCAGGGACTCTTTGGGCGCGTTCGAATTGTCACTCTTTGACGTTTCGAGGAGTTTCGTTTTTCTGAAATGGTGGCCTGATTGGCCTCTTCAGGAAAACGAAGCCCCTCGAAACTCCACAACCTTATTCGATGGGAGAGGTGAGTTAGCTCCGAAGAGTTTGGAATGGCCAGACCACATAGTACGTGGAGATGGTCGATCTGATCGGACGTCATCATCACCATGACAATTCCACTGAAAACCTCCAAAATGATAGAAACCGTTCTAATGGGACACTCCAACTATCCTGTTAAAAAAACTGTGTTGGAACCGTTGATGAAGTCAATTCCAACGCGCCCTTAGTAAGGTGTAAAGAATCAAGTCAGAGTACAGTGAAACCTGTCAAGGCGACCACTCGGATAAGGTGACCACCTGTCCCGGAGGACCACTGTTACCAGGACCAAGGGATGCCATTTCCAGTCTAATGACCCTGGATAAGGAGACCACCTGGCCATGGAGACAACATTTTGAATGTTCCCTGAGTTGTCGTCTTAGACAGGTTTCACTGTAATTAATACTACACGCACCATCAAGTAGTTTGCAGACGTTGTTGGCGTGCGCTGTACAACACAGTCTGGTTATGTTCGTCATGCATCCCCTTGCAGTACTCTCTTTGTTTCTCTCCTTATTAATCAGTTCGCCGTGGTTGGCTACCACCCGACTTCTCATATATATTGGCAGTCTTCTGACGAGCCAGGAGATGTTGAATTAATAATAATAATAATGTTAATTATACACGATATGTGTTCCGATGCATGCACTGAGAAACACCTTCTGTAAGGAAACCTCCACTTCCACTTCTGTATAGTTCCCGAGATGGGTGCGGGAAAAATGTATGTTGAAATTGAACGGTAAAACCTGGTGTAAGCGACCTCTGTTTTTAGCGACCACCGGCTCTTAACGACCTTTCTTCCATGCACGGACAGTTCCACACGTACACAGACACTGTGTGACATACCTGGTTCTAAAGACCACCTGGCTTATACGAACTCTTTTCCTTGCACGGCGGAGTTGTCGTTTAATTAAGGTTGCAGCCTAATTTCATAATTATGGCTTTCAATTGACCGTAACTTTGGTTTATCTGAATGGATTTGAGTGAAATTTTCACCACACCCTCCGTACACTATCCTGGCCCTCGGGACATGATTTAAAAGTTCTTGCGCCTTACTGACAGGCTTTCCAGGCCGAAAAAACTCCAAATTCCGCCATAGTGCCACGGTGTGCGAGCCACCCAGGAGCCAAACAAATGCATTTACAATTTTTCACATTTTCTTGCCCATTCTGCTCGTGCGCGGGATCCAAACCTAAAAAAAACGTCCAGAAGAAGCCATGGGTGGTGGGATAGGGCCCCTCAACGTGGCCCTGGAATCTGTTACAACGGCAGGAGTGGGCGTTCTCTCACAGACTCCCACAGACCCAAGTCAATTTTTGATTTTTGTTGGGTGTAGCGCGTGCTACGAGGTCGTACCTTTGATACAACATCCAGTGATGGGACCTCCACCGCAAGCCATTTCCAAAGCACTTCACGCTAAATCCAGGATACTCTCAAAAAATCGGACAAAGACTACCACTCACGATGCACTACTGCCTAGTACTGAATCCTACCTGACTTCTTGACACGATTCAAACTTGCCAATCAACGTCAACTACAAGAATCAAACCACATATCTGCAACGCCACGAGGGTGCTGGCAAAATTCCCGCCGTGCAACCCAATACATGGCTAAAAACGTGATATTTGGACACGGTTTGCTCAGATTCAATTACATGTACAGTGCTGCCACAAAATGACTGCGTGCAACAAAAAAATCTTTCATTGCAAGGTCACATTTTCGGCCCTAACTCTAGAACGGCTGGTCAGATCGGGTCAAAATGTTCAGAGATTTTGCAGCTATCCATGCTCTTTACAGATGTAGCACTCGATATGAATTTACAAATTCTATTTTTCAGGGAAATGGGATCAGTTTACACATATTAACGTTCTTTGTCCAGTCCCCGAGATTATGTACTATTAGGACTGCAGATGCTCTCGCCTTAACAACAGTACGAATAATCCCCGCCTAATAATTATCGTCCTTGCCAATGTAATGCGCGCTCTTTCTCGTACAGAGGGCGGCTGATGTACCGGTATTTCAAGAATGGCGAAGAGCCATACAATCTTCCGCCGTTAATTCCGGCGAACCCCCAAAACCTGCAGACACGAATGGAGTCGCCTGAGGATAATATCAGTCTCCTAGGCCTTTCAGACTGTAAGTTTTCGCTCCTTCTTTTTTTTATGAACTGCACTTTAAATTTGAAACTCGGGTGTTGAGCCAATAATATACGTAGAAAGGAAAGGACATTATGGATACGAGTTAAGAGTAACTCTCCATCAGGACAGCTTCCAAAGCACGTAGACGATCATTGATCGGTGCAAGGAGATCCATAACGGCTGATGAAACAGCTTGCAGGATTGAGTTTTCATCAATCTCTAATCGCGAGAAGAACAGCTCAGATTTTCTAAATCATTTCGTGTCGAGCAGAAATAAAATAGGCTTTTGTAGCAAGTAACATTACTTAGTCTTTACGATACCGGTACTGTAACCAGATACTATAATATACAATCAGGAAGTGCAACAACTAGGCACAAAACTGACAGAATACTGAGAAATTCGAGGTCCTGATACCTAGCTTCAACATATTTCTGGCGATTCCTGAGGCTGCGTTTACACGGAGACGAAACGAAACGAAACAAAAACTGAACGAAAACTGGCTGGCCTCAAATCATTTTCAAACCGTTTACACGAGAACGGCTGATCGTTTTAAACCGTTTAGACGAAAACGAAAAACGGGCAAACAGGCTGGAGTTAGCACTTGCTGGCTTGCCGCAATGGCGGGAAGTGACACGTTTGTTGGAGTCGGTACATGATGGTGGTCGCAAGGGTTGGGTATTTCCCGTGAAACATAGCCCCGCGCGAAATGGTTTCCATGACCGCGCTCCGTTTCCAATCGTTTTCACTGTTTACACGAGAATGAAAACGTTTTGAAAACGTTTTGAAGTGCGTTTCCATTTCGTTCCGTTTAGGTATCGTTTTCGGGCGTTGTCGTGTCAACAATCGTAGTAAACGCAACGATTTCGTTCAGTTTAGGTCGTACTTCGTTGTCGTGTAAACGAAAATCGTTTTCAATCGTTGTCGTGTAAACGCAGCCTGAGAAAAAGTGGAATGAGTTCTTATTCCGAGCGGAATGAAAATGCACGGAGGGGCTTCGTCGCTGCTGCGTAGACTCTACTAGTACCTTTCCAACAAAGCTTCAAACGCGATTATCGATATAGTATGTTGTCAGACATCGTCCAGGGTAGAGGCTGGTACTGTATAACCTCAGCATAGTTACTTGTTGGTGGTATTTTGACCCTTCGCTCCCTGAGAAAGTGTTCGCCCGGGATCGTTGATGAACTGGAAATATACCCTCGCACCTCAGCTCTTCATCGTCGTGGGCCTCTAGAACCACAGGGAGACAAGCCGGAACTATTTTTCGAGCCAAAGACCCAAGACCCAAAGAGGCACCGAGCCTGCCACCTCACTTCTTCTTACAACGGTGCCTCGTCTCTGTCAAATAAACACAAGAGCTAGAGACGTTTCTGTGACTGATACGAGGTCGAATAGCATGATGAAGTAGCGGCCAAACGACGCCTGCAGGCACCCTAATTACGGGCGCTCGTTGATCTACGCCGTGTTTGGCCGCTCCTTCATCATGACTGTCGTCGAGACATGCAGAAACTTACGGAAGAAAATAGGAACTACCAGGACTGGCATGCAGTATTCTTCGTGAGGCTGCAAACAACAGTTAACCCTTTGTGTACGGACCGTACAACTTTCGATACCCATACTAAAAAAACAAAAACATTCCGAGGAAACCCTGCTTGTAGTCTGTCTCATTTTGCCCTCAGATGTTTTGATGCATAGTGATTTTGATGCTCATCATTCGCTCCCTTGTCACTGGACAGTTCTGTCCGTTTGGTCTTAAAGGGGAAGTTAAGGCAAAAATTAAAATTTCACCAGTTGTAGTCTTCGGGGTGCTGAGTCGAATGGTCTTGGTCCGAGGAAGCTGAGACGCTCCCTTCCTACTTGAATCCCAATCGAACTCGCGCACTTCCACTGAAACTGGGTGACTGCGCCCTACTAGATGGGGATTTGTATGCAAAATGTCACTAAAAGCGCCATTTCGTTCTTATAAAAGCACGGATGACCGCGATTGGCCCATATGTTGTAGTCTTTTGGACGCTGAGTCGACTGGTTTTGGTCCGAAAAGGCTGCGATGCAGCGTTCCTCCTTTATTCCCAATCGAACATGGTTGAACAAGCAATCACGTGCTCCTGGGTGCCCAAATCACCTGGTCACCACGCCAGCAGGCGACAACTTTCACACCAAGGTTCAACTCGAGTTCAACTCGAGTGACAGGACTGCACCCAAAAAAGGTCAAACAGGCTAGTAAGTTGTACCCTGCAGGCACCGTGACCAGGTGACTGGCGTTATAAGAACGAAATGGCGCTTTTCGTGGCATTTTGCATACAAATCCCCATCTAGTAGGGCGCAGTCACCCAGTTTCGGTGGAAGTGCGCGAGTTCGATTGGGATTCAAGTAGGAAGGGAGCGTCTCAGCTTCCTCGGACCACGACCATTCCACTCAGCACCCCGAAAACTACAACTGGTAACATTTTAATTTTTGCCTTAACTTCCCCTTTAACGAATTCAAATAAAGAAAACAACAACAGCAACAACATTCGACCGTCGTTTCGTTTCCAGAGTGGCGCAAAACCTTTGCCAGATTCCCGAATGCATGCCGGTGCGTTTGTTTGATACGCTCATTCCGACTCCGCGATGGGTACTAACGTCAATCCATGCCCATTCGGGAATGACCGAACAAATGCAACCCTAGAGGTACACATACTATTTAACCTATCTTTTGATGCATCTCTGTCAAATGCTATCTTGGCTGACCTTCGTAACCGTCTACACACCTTAGCCTGCAGGACATCAAACATAGCTAGCTGTGCAGTAGTTAGGGTGAGGCTCCAGACTTGGGTGCCATATTCTATTGTGGGGCGTACATATGTAAATTCCTTGGCCGCAGGGCAGCTGGATGAATACAAAACCAAATGCAGCAATATCCATCCCATAACCTCACTTACAGCATGGTTAGTATGCAGCTTCAGCATTGGCAGGAGCAGATTTAAAAAAGTACAATGCTGTCTTCCCCCAGTCAATATACATGTATGTGGGGTGGTGCCTTTGCTGTTTGCGTTATGCAGAGCTCACTGAATTGTCAGTTTTAGAAATATGGTGGGTACATTCGAGCCTGGCTTAAATCTGGCTTTGGAAAAACTATTTTTCGTTACTATCAGGTTCGGCCTCAATTTCTCTGTGCTGCGGTGATGAGTCCACAAAGGACGAAACAGTTCTGTTCGCAGACTGAGTGTATGTTATACATGTGTATGCATCTGACATATCTTTCTCACTTGTACACGTGGTAACCATGGTTACGCTGATCGAAGCTCCTGACAGCAAAGCCCAGTTACGATGCACGAAGCATACCTAGAATAGTAGCCGAGGTGGGGGAATTGACATTATGACACAGTGATGTTGAGCGGTGGTCACATAGTCATAAAAGCAGCATAGTGAACAGGAGAATGAAGATGAAACTGAGTGCCTACTTCCGCCCTATAAAGATAGATACAACGGAAACAGAGTATAGACTTTTTGTTAGACTTTTTGTTGCACCGGATTTTCGTTTGGAAAATAGTATGAATTGTTCATGTACATCTATTTCCGATACGATCAGTTAGTATGTCTTTTTTCCCATCCCAGATGTAAGTGATATTATCTGTCAGTGCCTGGCTTACGACCCCGATGCCCGAATTGATTCTTCCGACTTCCGGAGGCACCATTTCATAAATCTCGCCGTGCATCTCGGCCACCATTTTTCACCGAACACCCAAGGTTTCGCGGACCTTTTCTCTACTCATTTTTATGAAAACATGCGAACCAAAAAAGCAAACATTGATGATACGAGAGAATATTTAAGGTTGTGGGAACGGAGAGAAACGGAAATACAACATCCGAGCTACGAGGGCAATCTGTTAAATGAACTTATCAGCAAGTAAGTTGTATGTTTCTAATTGTCCGCTAACTCCAACGCACCCACTTACACATCATAACCCTCATGATGGGGCAGGCCCTACTTGAACTACAATTTGGTGGATTTTAAATTTTAATTTGAAATCGCAGTGTTTTTGGAAGTAGAGAAGTGAAGTGCCGTAGACGTTATTATTAGTAGTATTTTCCTGGTAGTGAACGGCAATTTTTTTTTCAGAATGTTCCCGTTTGTGTCTTTCCCTCAAACCAGTTTTATATTATATGACTTGGGGCTCCCCGCATGCTAGTTTGGACGTGAAGTGTGAGGGTTATAGTGAGGGCTGCGTCCTACCGGCCTGTGTGCATTCACGGGAAGTGTGAGTTACGAAGTCTGAAGAAAATGTTGAACGGCCTCTGCTGGGATGACGACTACCACATAGCTCAGTGGTTAGAGCATCGCTCGCTACAAACGAGGGTCCCTGGTTCGAGTCCTGGTAGTGACAGTCAATTTTTTCTTCAGACTTTTCTCGTTTGTGTCTTTCCCTCAAGACAGTCAATAATAATAATAATTATTATTATTCACTGGTTTGAGGGAAAAACAGTAGTTATTTGGGAACTTGTGGCCTGGCACGAGGGTAACATGGATGCAGCTAATGAGATTTCGGTCTTTGACCACTTGGTGGTGGGTCTGAGATACTCACCTCCCACCGTTTAGGCGCCGCATCTGCGCCTTTGATCCTAGAGGGTGGTGGCGTTCCCACGACGGATGCGGAACACTGGGCTTCCAGCCGAGTCTCACGCGAGCCGTGAAATGTATTATTATAAAAATTGCTCGTGCTAGACAGGGTCTAAATTACCACTTGCATTGTGCGTATGTATTTTGAGTTTTGAATTAGTTTTGATTTGCCAGAAATCTTTCTGATGAGATACCAGGAAAACGTTCAAGGAACATGCTTTTATAAATGGAAATAGGCTTTATTATCCCCGCGTGCTAGAGTGTATGTGAAGTGTGTGGGTACAGTGAGGGCTGCGTCCCACCCGCCTGTGTGGATTCACAGGAAGTGTGAGTTACGAAGTCTGAAGAGAATGTTGAACAGTCTCTGCTGGGATGACGACTACACCATAGCTCAGTGGTTAGAGCATCGCTAGCTACAAGCGAGGGTCCCTGGTTCGAGTCCTGGTGGTGACGGTCAATTTTTTCTTCAGACTTTTCCCGTTTGTCTCTTTCCCTCAAACTAGTGAAGGCTTTATTATTATTTTTTTTAAAGAGGTCGGAGGCGGGTAATACTTTAAAAACGACGGTAAGTTTGGGGTAGCAAGTATCCACGCAAATACAAATCCAGTCACAATAAGGCACTTGTCAAAAGTATCCCAACATATCCGTGTATAATCCTTGATGAGAAGGGACCGAAAACGTTGGGTTACTTTGCACAAGTGCCTTATTGTGACCGGATTATTATGATTATTTTGCTAATGGTGTTTGTACTGAGTGCGCAGCTTACTCTATTTATTGCTTTAATTATTATTATGGTGACTAAAGGAGGACAAAATGTTACGGGTAACGGGTAACTGTACACCAACGTAACTAGATCTTATACAATCAGCGAGTGCGGCAAAATGGCACAAAACTGACAAGGAGTACTGAGACATTCGGCGACCTGATATACCTCGTAACATTTTGTCCTCCCTTTTTCACCAACATTTAATTGCCTCACCATCCGATTTACCTTTTTTTACTTCAGTGTTAGTATTAACACAATAAATATAGTAAGCTGCGCACTCAGTGCCAACACCATTAGCATAACTTGTTTTCATGCATAATAACTTGTTCCTTGAACGTTTTCGTGGCCATCTCTTCAGAAGGATTACTGGCAAACGAGAGAGCTTGGAAGCTCAGGGCCCTACGCTATGCTTTTTTGCCTTGATGACCTAGACTAAAAAAGCATAGGGATGTTATAAATTCTTTAAAAAATTCCTTTTTTTTAAGACATAACCTGGGATTCGAACCCGCACTATCGCGCCCTGCATGCATCCCCGGTCTTTAAAAAAATCCTTTTTTTAAGACATAACCTGGGATTCGAACCCGCACTATCGCGCCCTACATGCATTCCCCCATACACTTCGCATTCATACCCATTCTGCCAAGTTGCTTCACGTTCATGATCTTGCATTTGAAAGCCCTATTTGAATATGCATTGTGGCCAGCCGTCTTTGATGGTACGGTACGGTAGGGATAGGTACGGGAGAGGTACGATCGAGGGTAATACGACACTGTCTCCCGTACTGTACCATCAAATACAGTTGGCCACATACAGCTGCCCGCAATATTCAAATAGGGCTTTCAAACGCAAGATCATAACGTGAAGCAACTTGGAAGAATGGGTATGAATGCGAAGTGTATGGAGGAATGCATGCAGGGCGATAGTGCGGGTTCGAATCCCAGGATACAGTATGCCTGAAAAAATAGGAGAATTGAAAAATTTATAACATCCCTATGATTTTTTGCCGTCAGATACGGGATAGCGCCAGGCGTGACACAAACAAACAAACACACAAACAAACACCAAACGAGAGAGCTTGGAAGCTCAGGGCCCTACGCTATGCTTTGTTACTTAGCTCATCGTGCATGTTGTGGGAACTGATGGAAATGTTTCCTGGGAAGGCGCTGACTGTGCCGAGCACGCGCGTTCTGGAGTCGACGGGATCACTCTGCCGACGTTTCCTGTGACCAGCGCTGACTCGCCCGTTCACGCCTGTTTTGGAGACGACGGGATCTCTCTTCCAAAGTTTTTGCTGACGCATCCTATCACCTATTCGACAACTAACATCCATTCTAATTTCATGGAGAGACGAGGACGACAACGGTCGTGACTGAAAAGACACTGCCTTGGCGACCGCGTCGCGGAACCCTCGCCCCAGCAAATTCAGAAATACGCCAGGGGCAACTCTGGTGGACCCAGAGCCACCCCCTTTGCAAGACTAGTAAGAGGAACGACTGAAAACTCAGATAAAATGGAGCTACAAAAAGTGCAACCGTCCCCTTCAAGCACAGTTGCAACACACAGGGAGTCGTATACATGTACATAATATTGTGGCCAGCTGTTTGTAGCCAGCTGTGTTTGATGGTACGGTACGGTACGGGACAGATAAGGGAGCCAGCAAATGGCCAGCTGTGCGATACGGTACGGGACAGATACGGGATAGCGCCAGGCGTGACACAAACAAACAAACAAACAAACAAACAAACAAACAAACACCAAATTAAAGCTGTGTGGACCCTGGCTAGCGCCAGACGTTACTGAAGTAACGTCTTCTGCATAGCTACGGGAATTAAAGCTGTGTGGACCCTGGCTAGCGCCAGACGTTACTGAAGTAACGTCTTCTGCATAGCTACGGGAATTAAAACTCAATATAAATACGCACAATGCAAGTAGTAACTTAGACCGGATTTAGCGCGAGCAATGAGAGCTAAAAGAATTTTTTTATTTTTATTACTATGAAATAACCCAAAGGCAATATGCCTATCGAGGGGTTCATTTGATTGAAAGAACATTACTACTGCTAGTATGTACAAAGAAAAGCAGGAATTATAACAATAAACGATATCAGTAGGCAATAAACGAGATAAATTCACAACCAGAAAGTAACCATGCAGTCAAAAAAGAAGTGAGAACTTCTGATCCAAATTCACAAACAATTATTATTTCAATGTAAACAAATTTACAAATAATTATTTTTCTGCCTGCACAAGATCATTTTGGTGGTAAAGATGTAGATAGGCTCCAATACACGCAAAAACCTTTGACTACGTGAAATAACAAAGATCAACACAGAAGGGGAATCTTTGCGAAAACGAATTGTACAATATCGGACGAGCACCGGAGATGTGTTAGAGCTGCACATAGGAGTCAGGTCGTTTTTAAATATCTTAGAAGTACATAAGTACCTTCGCCTAGTTAATAGGCAGTCTAAGTAATTAGTTACACATTTTTTCCTTTTTTCAAAAGGCGGTGAGAATCGCACGTCACGTGTAAATTTTAGAGGTTTTAAGAGTTACACGTGCGACATGACGTGACAGTTTAGGGGGCAGGATTCGGGTTGAGTTGACACAAATATCAAATCTTCCTACAAGCTCAATAAAACTACGGAAACTCACACAAATTTGATCGGGAAGGACCAAGCGAAACTTCCAGAAACCCAAGTTACAAACTTGCGTGTGGGACAGTCAACTCACGTAAAACACTTCAAATTTTAAGTGATTTTTTTAATTTTGTACGTGAAAGTTCATGGACGTAAGAATTTGATGTGAAACTTAACCTCTCTATTTCACTTCCTGTGTAGTATCCGAGTTCATATGAATACAGTCCTCTTTTACGGGCAAATTAACACAATGGTTTAAAATGCAATAAATCATACACTGGGGAAGAAATCAGAATAATGCATGAGTAAAATAAAGAATTCAAATCCAAACCAAAACAAACTTCAATTTTTTTCCGAGTTCAAATTCATAGACCATATTATTCTGAAGATCGCGATTGGTAATGCGGAGTTTGGATTTTCACCATGATGTGCTAAATGTGGCTGTTCATTTGCTTGTGTTTTGTGTCCTAGGCAAAATGAGTCACCCGCGCTTACGGCGTACAGAATCACATGTTACATCAATACTTATTATTATTATTATATTAGAAACTCAGGTTTACTTTCCCTGATATAGATCATTCACATGACGTGCAAACTTACTTTTATCGTACCGTTTCCAAGGAATTTTACTTGGATACGATAAACTTGGACACACTCGTGCAAATGATTTTTTATCATGGCCGAGGCCCTTTTCCTCGCGATTATCTTTGCACGCCAGGAAAAGTGTTCTTGAAAGTGCGTACTGCAAATGCAGTTCTTGAGCAACGGAAATTTCAAAATTGGACATTTCCCGGCATTTTCAGGAGGTCACTATGAATACATTGACGGTTGCAAAGTTTGCCCAGCACCGTGTGAACTGGATCACGGTTTGCCAGTGTTATCTTGGTCACTCACGTGCAAGTGTTCACACGTCGTGTGAATGGCCGATTACGCTGGTAGTTTACGATCAGAAATTTGGTGGCCTACCGTCCCTACGTCCCCAGTTGTCTTATGAGATCACGAACTATATTCACGGATGTTATTGGCTAACAGGAATACCTCGCATTCCACTCCTTTGTTGTTGATGTTGATATTTTGTTTTTCTTGGATACCCAGGCGACTACCGTCATGGCAACCTTGTGGCCATAGTACTACATGTAAAATCAATACCCCTCGCTTATTCATTACTTTATTCATGCAATGTTTCGAAATGAATCATTCTCATAGAAATACTTATAATATAACGAAACGACTATTTTGTATTGGACTCGGGTGGTGAGGCAAAGGAGATAAACAGTACGACAGTCCGACAAGGACTAAGAGAGAGTTTGTTTGTGTGTGTGTGTTTGTATGTGTGTGTGTGTGTGTGTGTGTGTGTGTGTGTGTGTGTGTGTGTGTGTGTGTGTGTGTGTGTGTGTGTGTGTGTGTGTGTGTGTGTGTGTGTGTGTGTGTGTGTGTGTGTATGTGGGTGTGTGTAGGTGTGGTTGTGGATGCGGGCATGGATGGATGCATGGTAGTTGGATGCATCCATGGTAGTTGGATGGATGCATGGTTGGTTGGATGGATGGATGGATGGATGGATGGATGACAGACAGACGGCCAGCCGGACAGACAGACATACAGACAGACAGACAGAGAGACCGACATACAGACAGACAGACAGACAGATAAACAGATAGACAGATAGACAGACAGACAGACAGACAGATAGGCAGACAAGCAGATAGACAGACAGATAGATGCATGGTTGGATGGATGGATGGACGAGTAGATGGGTGGATGGGTGGATGGATGGATGGATGACAGACAGGCAGGCAGACAGACAGACAGACAGACAGAGAAACAGACAGACCGACATACAGATAGACAGACAGACAGATAAACAGTTAGACAGAAAGACAGACAGACATAGACAGACAGGCAGAGAGACAGATAGACAAGCCGATAGACAGACAGATAGACATATAGAAAGATAGACAGAATGATAGGCAGATAGATAGATAGACAGATAGATTGATAAGCAGATAGGCAGAAAGACAGATAGATGGCTAGATGGATAGACAGACAGACAGACAAACAGACAGACAAACGGACAGAAAGACAGACAGACAAACAGACAGACCGACAGACCGACAGATAGGCAGATAGACAGATAGACAGAGAGAAAGTTAGAAAAGATAGAAAAGATAGAAAAGATAGAAAAGATAGCCAAGATAGATGGATAGATGGAAAGATGCATCATTGAGTATTTCACTCCTCGATTTCGATCTTGTAGAGCACTCTTAGTAGGACGCACTTGCGCTGGTTAGCTTTATGCTTTGACCGCTGCTTCTAGCAGTTTTTAAAAGCACTCTCACCGCTAGTACATCGAGCTGTCCTAATGTCTGTGGTTCTCGTAGCGATGGGTGACAGTTAAATCCTATTTTAAGCTCGGAGTTGCACTGATGAGGCCTCATTGGCCGAAACAGTCTGGCTGTCTGCATCATTGAGTAGATAGATAGATAGATAGATAGATAAATAGATAGATAGATGTCTAAAGTCCCTAGGCTGCTTACAGTGCGCAATATCCCATGGACAGAGCCAGTAATACAAATATTACACAGCAATGAATCAAAACAAGTCTGAGTGCCCGCTGGACGGCCGATGCCAAGCGCAGGAGGTAGTTTATGAGGCGCATGTGGGGAAAGAAAACGAACAGAAGGTGTACATTTGGATCAACTGAGCCACCATTTAAGAAGCGACACTATAACCACAAGTCCGACATGAACATCGAGTCAAGGAGGAACAACACGGAGCTGTCAAAGCATGTATGGCGGCTAAAAGAGACGAAGGCACCGGTCACCGTCAACTGGACGATTGCTGAGCAAGCTTAAGGGTACAGCAACGTCAGCAAACGGTGCAACCTATGCGTGACGGAGAAATTCCGCATCATCATCGCCGACAGGAGCACACGCCTGAATAAGAGGAGCGAGTTAATCTCCAAATGCCGTCATGCCAACAGGTTTCAACTCAGCAGGGTAACGTGATGAAAGACAAATACATGAGCCACGCCAGGCTGGGGGTGGCTGTTGTGCCCGTCGGGGCCGGGGAGGTGGCGGTCGGGGCTGGGTTCTGCGTTGCGCGGGAATTGTGAGCACTCCCCAGGGCTCATGGCTCACGCGCTTTGGCGGGTCTTGGCTTCTGTCGCCGGTTTTCCGATGCCTTGGCGGGTGTGGTAGTCACCCCCTTGCCTGGCGTGAGTGATCCACATCACCATTTTTACCACCCTAGGTCGCGCTGTTCCTCTACCCAGGCTATGCTCTATACTCTCAACATCTTTTTCCTCTTATAATCACGCTGATTTTGTCATCCCTTTTCCTCGCGCTATTGAAATGTACTTCTATCCGTATACTAGTGATTGTTAGTCTTGGTCATGCATGCTGTCTGATGAAGTGTTTTGACACGACACTCGGATTAACAGCGGAAAGAGACTTGTTTGATTCATTGCTGTGTAATATGTGTAGATAGTTAGATAGATAGATGGATGGATGGATATATGGATGGATATATGGATGAATGGATGGATGGATGGATGGATGGATGGATGGATGGATGGATAGATAGATAGATAGATAGATAGATAGATAGATAGATAGATAGATAGATACAAAGATCAAATGGATGGATAGATAGATATATCGATAGATAGATAGAAATATAGATGGATGGATGGATGGATGGATGGATGGGTAGATGGATGGATGGATGGATGGATGTATGAATGGATGGATGGATGGATGGATGGATAGATAGGTAGATAAAGAGATAGATAGGTAGATAGATATTCATTGCATTCCCAACTCATCACAACCACGCGCTCTTCAGCCGAACCATACAGACACCAGCAAGGACACTTCCGTTGAGAGATAATATTGCTCCACGCCTCTAGACAGCTGTTTCGCTCCCTGTCGGAACTCATCAGTAGAGGATAATAATGATGATAATGGAGGAATGATCATTCTTATACACCAGAAATGGCGCAAATGCGCGCTTTCCACATAATATCAATGGCATATGCAAGCTGCTAAAATGGTAAAGTGTGAGAACAGCGATAAATAATCATAGTACGCGCTCATTGGTGGAGAAACACACCACACAAGCGACGAAAACCTGACGCGGAATACTGATGCCAATGGAAAGTACATGTATGTTGTTTATTATTATGATGTTGTCCATGTATGCAGACGAGGCGACACTCACCGCCGAGATCCCCCAACGGGACAGGCTCGGTTGCCGTTCAGGATTCACACCGACCTGTCCGCCCGTCAAAAGGATCGACAGCGGGAGGCCCCACTGATGCCGATGTCGATGCACACCAGGAAACTTGTAGTCGTGAGTGTGATACTAACAGGTCTAGTATATATATAACTATGATTATTTATCGCTGTTCTCACACTTTACCATTTTAGCAGCTTGCATATGCCATTGATATTATGTGGAAAGCGCGCATTTGCGCCATTTCTGGTGTATAAGAATGATCATTCCTCCATTATCATCATTATTATCCTCTACTGATGAGCTCCGACAGGGAGCGAAACAGCTGTCTAGAGGCGTGGAGCAATATTATCTCTCAACGGAAGTGTCCTTGCTGGTGTCTGTATGGTTCGGCTGAAGAGCGCGTGGTTGTGATGAGTTGGGAATGCAATGAATTGAAAATATGGCCGAAAGCTCTGTTGCAATATTTAGTTCTGAGGTAGATAGATAGATTGGTTTTATTTCTATTGCTATCAGGTTCGGCCTCATTTCCTCTGTGCTGCGCTGACGAGTCCACAAAGGACGAAACAGTTCTGTCCGCAGCTTGAGTAGATAGATAGATAGATGGATGGATGGATGGATGGATGGATGGATGGATGGATGGATGGATGGATGGATGGATGGATGGATGGATGGATGGATGGATGGATGGATGAATGGATGGATGGATGGATGGATGGATGGATGGATGGATGGATGGATGGATGGATGGATAGATAGATAGATAGATAGATAGATACAAAGGTCAAATGGATGGATAGATAGATAGATAGATACTAGATAGATAGATTGATTGATAGATAGATACAAAGGTCAAATGGATGGATAGATAGATAGATAGATAGATACACACCAAGTCGAATCACCCGCCGAATATACTCCGGAATCTACCTGCAATGATCAATAGGCGGGTGTCCGACATCTCGTGCGACGAGGAGGCATTCACCAACGCGGCGCCCACATACAGAGCTGCGCTATCTGCCAGCGAAATTTCCAGAGGCCATGGTGTTCGAAGGCGGTAAGCCTACCAAGAAGAAGAACAAGCGGAGGAGAAACATAACATGGTACAACCCACCATACAGCAAATCTGTATCCACCAATATCGGCCAGAGGTTTTTCAAAGTAGTCAGCAAACATTTCCCTGCCGCGTCGCCACTACACAAGATCTTCAACAGAAACACATTGAAGTTGAGCTACTCCTGCATGCCCAACATGTCCTACCTGATGAAAGGACATAACCAAAAGGTACTAACGCCTGGTGAAGAGAGATCTGCGGCAGGGTGCAACTGCCGAGCCAAGCCATCATGCCCTTTGGGCGGCGGATGCTTGGAGGGGGAAGTGGTGTACCAGGCCTCCGTCACAACCCCAAGCACCGGCGAGGAAAGGCAATACATCGGCCTGTGCAAGACGCCCTTCAAGGTGCGCTATGGCAACCATCTAACCAGCATGCGGCATGAAAAGTACCGTACCAAGACCGAGCTATCCAAGCACACATGGGCGCTGGCTGACCAAGGTGAGGAATACAGTATCAAATGGGCAGTCATAGATCGGGCCAAGTCCTACAGCAACATATCCAAAAGGTGCTGCTTGTGTTTAGCAGAAACGTTGCGCATCATCACCTTCAAGACGCCTCACACTCTGCTCAACAAGAGGTCGGAGTTGGTATCAAAGTGCAGACACCAAAACAAGTTCTACCTCTCCACCTACTCTGCCGTGACATAGCCACCGCGTGCTACCACTATCACCGCCACATCCTCTGAATACCCGCGGCTGATGAATGTGGACACCACAGTGTGCTTCCACCGCCACACATCACACCCCCTGACCAGTGCCCCCATGGCTTACCCTTGTCCTGCCTGGTGGTTTCTCCGCCTCCGTATGCTCCATGCATAGTTCGCGCCTACTGCGCATGCCCATCCAGTGATGTAATTATCATCACTCGCTATTCCCTTGC